TCTACCTAAATTATATACAATAACTAGAAATTACATGTTTCATGCAAAATTAAGATATATAATATCTTAAAGATGTTATTTGATATAAATAAACATAAAACCAATGTTTATTTTCATTCCCATAAAATAACATTGTATTGTAAACTCATATATGATCAAAACATGCCTAGTTACAAATAAATTTATCTTCCTGAATGCAATCTTAGATTTCTACTCCAGGTCCATAACTGTTTTTCTAGATTCCTTGGGGCTTGATGTGCTCTTCTGCATAAACTGTATATTATGTAACACCTCCAAGGAGGGTCTGAGGCTTGACTTTGCTATCAATTACAGCAGTTTTCTATGTCGTTATATTATCAGCATCACCACTGAGTAGGTTAAATAAAGAATCTACAGTATTCAGATCTGGTTTTGCTGTCATGAGTTACAAAAACCATTTCAGTTTTCTGAGCAGCTTGAATTTCATAATTACAGATAAGGACTGTGAGGAACACATCCGAACACAAAATTGATAGGTTCCCAAATGCTCCTGTTAGGTGGGGGCTGAGCCTTGATGAGCCTTGATGAGCCTTGATGCTGGAATTTCAGAAGGCAGAAGTTAAGTCATTGGAATGACAATGGGAGACATTAAAAGCCTTCTGGTTGACATTGATAAAGGTGGTTTCAACAGGTGGTGGAAATAAAATTCTACTGGGAAAAGATTCCAAGTGGAGGGGGACAGTGAACACAAACTAATGGCAGTGAGGAGTCTGGCTGTAAGAACAATGAAAAACAGAGCATTGACAGCTGGGGCCAGGGAGGAGGCTTCCTTTTGTAGAGAGGCATCCCTTCAGAGTTTTATGCTGATGAGAATGATCTACCAGAGAGAATAGAGGCTGACACAGGGAATAAGCAGCTTGCACAGTGGCTGAGACTGAGCATCTAGAACCAAGTGAGGGGCTTGCTTTGGGTGGGAGTGTGGGCTGCACCCACTTGGGCACAGGTGAGCCAAGCCCACCAGTGGTGCTGGGAGGGTGTTTGTGGAGGAAGTGTCTCTGAACCTATTTCCTCCATGAAACAGGAAGCAGCAGCATCAGTAGAGAAGAAGATGAGGAGAAGAGTTGGGGATTTGAGGAGAGAAATGAAGACGTGAAATCATTCCTGAGGAAAGTGGATATGTGGATTGTTCAGCCACTGGCAGCAACTTCACCAGGCAGCTCCAGCGTCCACCTGCACTTGGGAGGTCATGAGTTCAGTGACGCCAGCCAGTGGAGCCACAGGTTCTCCAGCCTTTGCTAGTTTCACCACAGAATGAAGAATTGGATTGTTAAAAGGAAACTAAGACAAAGGAAAAGAGGGATGAGCGAGTTGAAGGTATCTTCAAGAGACTGACTACAATAGTGGGCCATGGACAAAAGCTGAATAAAGAGAAAAACAAGGAACAATGTGGTGGGTCAGGAGCAATGGAAATTTAACACAATCAAAAATTATCAGGATTGAAACTTGGCACACCCAAAAATTGGGTGACAGAAGGAATGACCAAGGACAAAGGCCGACAGAGGGTGAGATACCTAAAATTGATATTAGCAATGGAAGATAATGATAATGAGAGGGTCCAGGATATGATAGAGGGAATGAGTGGGTCAGACAAGGTGGAATTCAAAACCAATAATGAAGAGCAGGTGAAGGAAAGGAGGGGTCAGATTTGGGGAAGAATCACTGATGTTTATATTGATTTCACCAGGAAGGTAAGGATTTAGGGAAAGTGCCTAAGTGGGAAAGGGGAATGACCAGGGGATGGTCAAGCATGGGTTCAAGAATATGTGGATGATGATCAGGCTGAAAACATGGGATTCTGGAAGCCACGATTCTAGGGAGAATTTTTTTTTGGGGGGGGAGGTGCAGCAGGTAAAGTGATAGAGCAAAATCTGTAAGCAGCAGAAAAGCAAAGACTGATCCTGCCTCTTCTCCGGCCCCACAGGCTGAGGATCAAAGAAGCAAAAATAGCATCATTATGAGAAAATAGCCTCAAAATAAAAACCTTCTTCTCAGCAAAAGAAACAGTCAACGAGGTGAAGAGAGATTCTACATTTTTGGAGCAAATTTTTGCCACATGCAAGTCTGATAGAGCACTAATCTCCAGGATTAAAACTCAAAAAAGCAAACAACCTAATCAATAAATGGGCTAAAGAGCTGAACAGGCACTTCTCAGAAGATGATGCATAATCGATCAATAAATATATAAAAAAGTTCAACATCTCTAGCAACTAGAGAAATGCAAATCAAAACTACTCTAAGATTCCATCCTGCGCCAGTCAGAATGGCAGTTATCAAGAATACAAACAACAGTGTTGGTGAGGACGTGGAGGAAAAGACACACGCATACATTGCCGGTGGGACTGCACATTGGTGCAACCAAACTGGAAAGCAGTTTGGAGATTCCTTAGAAAACTTGGAATGGAACCACCATTTCACCCAGGTATCCCACTCCTTGGTTTATACCCAAAGGACTTACAAACACCATACTATGGTAACGTGGCCACATTAATGTTTACAGCAGCTAAATTCACAGTAGCTGAACTATGGAACTAACCTAGATGCCCTTCAATAGATGAATGGATAAAGAAACTTTGGTATATATAATGGAATATTACTCAGCATTAAAAAATAAAATTATGGCATTTGCAGGTAAATGGATGGAGTTGGAGAATATCATGGTAAGCAAAGTAAGCCAATCCCAAAAAACCAAAGGCTGAATGTTCTCTCTGATAAGTGAATGCTGATGCATAATGGGGGGAGAGCATGGGAAAAATGGAGAAACTTTGGGCAAAGGGGAAGGCGGGTTAGGGTGGGGGTATGGGGGAAGGAAAGATGGTGGAATGAGATGGACATCACGACCCTAAGTGCATGTATGACTGAATATAAGGTGCAATGCTATATTGTGTACAATCAGAGAAATGAAAAGTTGTGATGCAATTATATACAATGAATCAAAATGTGTTCTGCTATCATATATACCTAATTAAGATTTAATTAAGTAATTAATAATTAGAGAGAGAGAGAGAGAGAAAATGAACACAATGTTTTGGGCAGCCAGAATGCAGAGAGCAGTGTTGAGTGAAATAAAAGGAAGAGAGGACTGGGATCTTTCTAAGAGCATCTAAGCGTTCTCCGAGCCTTCATCTGGCCCTCCCTTTTCCAGGTCTCAATCCTGGAACTCTTGTGCAGAGAGAGGCTGTAAATTATTTAAGGGCACAGAATTTGGAGCAAGAGATTCTGGTAACCAACCTTGGAACAGAGAAACAAACACTCTGGGACTTGGTTTCCTCATTGCTGCAATAGGGATAATAATAATGCTTTCATAAAGATAAAACGAATCTTAGATTTCATCTCATTCCAGTCAGAATGGCAGCTATTATGAAGACAAACAACAATAAGTGTTGGTGAGGATGGGGGAAAAATGATACACTCATACACTGCTGGTGGGACTGCAAACTGGTGCAGCCAATACGGAAAGTAGTATGGAGATTTCTTGGAAAATTGGGAATGGAACCACAATTTGACCCAGCTATCCCTCTCCTCAGTCTATTCCCAAAGGACTTAAAAACAGCATACTAAAGTTAGCCAATCCCAAGAAACCAAATGTTGAATGTTTTCTCTGATATAAGGAGGCTAATCATAGTGGGATAGGGAGAGGAAGCATGGGAGGAATAGACGAATTCTAGATAGGGCAGAGGGGTGGGAGGGGAAGGGAGGCAGTAGGAGGTTAGAAACAATGATGGAATGTGATGGATGTTATTATGCAAAGTACATGTATGAAGACACCAATTGCTGTGAATACGCTTTGTATACAATCAGAGAAATGAAAACTGTGCTCTATATGTGTAATAAGAATTGTAATGCATTCCGCTGTCTTATATAAATTAAAAATTAATTATAAAAAAAGATAAAGTGAATCAAAATAGAACACACAGAGCAGTCTCTAAGTGGTAATTTAATAGATCATGTGTTCAAAGAATACCAGGTGGCATCCTGAAGATTTGCATGGCTTCTCTTGGGTCATAATGTCCAACATAACAAGAAAGGGAACATTTTGGGAGACCTTATGAAAAAAAGCAGAAGTCAATATTTCCGTTTGGTGTTATATATTCAAAGAATCATTTTGCTTTGGTTTAGAAGGGTAACTTCTAAACTGGAGGTAAATGGAAACATAAAAGTTTAAATTTAGTGGACAACCTCCCCTACCTCAGCCCCCATGGGCCTATCTGTCCTGATGAAACCCCTCCCAGCCCCCCAACCATCCCACCTCCTGTCCCCAGTCTCCCCCCATATCCCCAACCTTGCTCCACTCTGCTTTACACTCTGTCCCTGAGTACAGATTGGTAAAATTCATTTGATCTGGCCCAGTGTCTCTGTGTGGTAGAAAACTGGATGATGTCTCTCGAGAACTAGATCCTGAGCTTGTAGGGTGCACCTTCATGGCATTTTAGAAAGAATCTATCTCTTTTCTTAACTCCAATTAGAAATTAAGTGGCTCCCTTCATATTAAAGCCCAGGCAGTTGAAGAGATCATAAAGTTTCATGCTTAGCTGTTGTACTTAGGTTTTTATGAAGAAAAGCTTTAAAAAAGCTAAATATTATGTTTTATAATCAATTTAGTGAATGTTCACATATCAAATGCTTATTATGTGCCTAGCAGTGTGGGAGTTGAATTGCAGAAATAAGACTCTTCTTTTTCTTTTCCTTCCTTTCTTTCCCTCTTTCTTTTTCATTTCCTGAATGTTAAAGAAGCAAGTATTTTGAATACAGTATTTTCTTTTCTTTCACATTACTCTTGCCCGGTATCGCATTAACCAACTAGATGTGAAGAAAAACACCCAAACCAAGAGCAAGCCTAATGACACTCTAAGTTGACATGTAAAACTATGTATTTATTATGTGTGATGTGATGTTTTGAAGTACACACACACACACACACATTGTGGGAAAGTTAAATCTAGCTAAATGTTTTATCCCACACAAAGCTTACCAGTTTTTCTATATAAAATTACTATGAGGTATCCCATCAAAATCCTGCACTTGGGTTTATTTTCCATTCATCTTTTAGTGACCAGTCATAGAATCCTGGAAGGCATCTCTGTTTACCTTCCTGCAGGGCTAGAGCCACTGTCTTCACTTTCCCATTGGTCATTTTTACTTCTTGGAACTGGGGGCTACAGCATTTCAGCAGCTAGTGGATCAGCATCGTTTTCTTCTCTACCAATCCATTCTCCAATCACTCAGGGCCCCAGAAGAGAAGAATCGAATGCCACTGTTTCCTGAAGAGAAGAAAAGAAGGTGCTGCTTTTGATGGCTTTTTCTTGTTCATGGACAACAGGAAAATAACCCTGTCTAGAGGGCTGGCTGCTCACGCAAGCCAAAATGTTCTTTTCTTTCTTCTGAATTGACATAAAACTTCAGTTCTTCTCATCTCTACTCAACTTCTTGTTCTGTGTGGTTTATGCTGATTCCTGAGGATCACTGTGATACAGGATTTAGTAATAAAATCTTGGATTTGGATTTGGAAGACTACAGACGAGGAGTAGGACTAGCATTCCTGGTGAAAGGAGGAGGGTGCTTTAGGGCCCAGAAATTGAGAGCATGGTATCACTCCTGGGAAATGGTACATAATTTCTCTGGAAGAAATTGGGTTGGGGTCAACAGACAAAGTCAAGAGGCAATAGGGCCAGATGGGCACATCATCTCCAATTGTGGAGCATCCTGGACTTTTAAAGATCCAGTGGAGGCTTGAAGCAGGGCAATGTCAGGGAGAGGTATGTCATACTAATTCAAAAAATGTTAATCTCTTTTCATAGATTTAAAATGAGGTAACTCATTCAATTGAATGACTTGAACATGGTTCAGCTATAAAAATTGTATTGCATGAAGATACTGAATACATGTAATTGCTAGGGATATTTAAGTGAAAAAATGACAAGTTATAAAGAAACACATATACATTGATCTAATTTTTGTTTAGAATTCATATGGATTGACATCCATCATTCATTCATTTTCTAATGTCCATTGATTCTTAGTATGTGCAAAAAACTGCTCTTTACTAGGCAAAACATTGAGTAAAACCAAAGTTGTATAAAGGTTTTATTTGAAGGGAAGAATTGATGGTGATCTTAAACTTTTGATTTGGTATTTCCATGTCTTTTCAACATTTTATGATAAATATAATCTGGTGACTTTGAAAATATTTTGATCTAAGAAACACATGCTTTGTTTAAATTATGTCTACTGATAAGTTTTAGTATTAGAAGAATCTTGAACAATTTTGAAAATTTAGATCTTGTGTTATGAGTCTTTACAATTCACAAATATATAAATCCAATACATGATACAACAAAAAATAATAATATCATATATGTAAAACAATGTATAGATAACAAATATAATTTCAAAAGCAGCATATAAAGAATGATGTAGATAATATTTGATAAGAATTTCTCCAAGTGAGAATAAGTAATAAAAGGTAATTGGATACCTAAATATTGTTTCAGCCTATAAAACATAGTAGATGTACTTTATTAAGAGTGTGTAACTTAACAAGTAATTTTAACTCTCTCTGCACTTATGTTCCCTGAGTTAGAAAAACAAAGAACTCCAATAGATTTCAGCTGTGAAATCATGCAATTAAATTAATGTTTTGAAATAACTGGAAAGTCATATTTATCCGCCAAAATTGAATGTCATTTGAAGTAAAGGAATTAAAATTGAGTATATTGGTAAAAGTTAAGCCTGCATTTGCTTTTCAAAGCAGACAAGGGAAAATACATGTTTCAGAACTTAAAAAAAATGAATGTATTTACAGAGGCAGAATCTAGTTTGGGCAATTTGAAATGTAATTCTCTGTATTTTATTTTATCCAACTATAAAATGTTGGTAATGGGAATTATTAAATCTACTATAGCAAATTAATTCATAAGTAAGGGTGGAATCATAAAATTCTGTGTATATGCTAAATATAATTATTTATGGACATGAACTCTATTCAAACCATTTCTATGCATGTATCTGGAAGAGCAGAATTGCTGCATGGGTTGAGTTGGGTAAGAAGAGATGTTTGGTAATCAGTATGGGCAGAGGATCAGAACAGGAAATTGATGGTGTGGTTTAGCGACCTACAAAGTTTTATTTTATAGGTGATGTATCAAAAAGATGAGATAATGAATTCAATGTTATTCATTTTATTTACATAATGGGGAAGGATTTGGTTTGAAGATTTGTCCTGCTATTGGCTCATAGTAGCCTAAGGACTCGTACAAAGAAAATAACAGTCAGAACAACAGAATTAATAAACTTAGGATCCATAAAACAAAGAAAAAAGAAGGAAGAAAGAAAGAGGATTTAAAGTTGGGTATGATCAAAAATTTGTGAACTGCAGAGAATCAGAAATAACTCTGCAGTTGCTTGCTGGGAAATTAAATAAAATTATAGACTCCACTGCTGGTGGAAAGTAGAGTGCAGAGAGAAGGATAAATGGTTTGGTATCCAGGATATTTAACTCCTCTGGCAACAGAAATTTAATGAGAAATAGCTGAAAAGCAAGGCAATAAAAAGTCACAGAATCTTGGAGTGAATTTTTAGCTGGTAGTTAAGTGAGATATGGTGTTTTTAAATAAAAGACTAAATTAATGCCTTTGGCTTTGCAATATCGTGGTTGGTGAAAGCTGTGAAATGGTAAGGAAATTATCATGGGAGGCTTTTTTATTTTTTATTTTTTGTACCAGGGATTGAACCCAGAAGTAATTAACCACTGAACCACATCCCCATCCCCCTTATCTTTTTTTTTTCTAACTTTGATACAGAGTCTCACTAAGTTGTTTAGGGCCTTGTAAAGTTGCTCAGGCTGGCCTTGCACTTGTGATCCTCCTGCCTTAGCCTCCCAAAATTCTGGGATTGCAGGTGTGCACCACTGCACCCAGCAAGTGGCTGCATTTTGATTCTGACAATTTTCACCAAAAATATAGGTGCAGAAACAGAACATTCAATATAGAAATATAAAGGAAGAAGGAATTCAGGAGAACCTCTGAAATAGCCTGGCCCACACTTCCCAAAATAAACAAGAGGAAGCATCCCTGCTATAAACAATGGAGCCGAATCTGAAGGTTTCTCCACTCTGCTCTGAAGCATCTGAAGGTAAAATTAAACCATGCCTAGTTCTGCTATGGCCAACATTTTTCAAATAATTCAGAAGGTCTTATGTAAAATAGTGTTCAGAAAGCATTTTAAATGAAGGGACCTGGGCTTTGTCATGCTAGAAACTAACGTCTCTTGAAAGCACAGTTCATCCCAGACCACCCTTGGGAAGGAATAAGGGAGACAAACAGACTGTTGTTCAAGTCATAGCTTTAGGCTGCTCCAGCTAAGTTCCATTAGAGAAGAATTCAGTCTCTTCTCTGAGACAGGTGGCTGTTTGCTCAGGACCATGAGGAATCATAGTTCAATACAAAGTGATTTCTACTAAGAAGTCTTTATTTGGGCATTTCTTTTGGTCTCGTTTTTCCATTCAGCCAGGAAACAAAATATTCTACAGTTCAAAAAGTCAAATAAAGCTAGGAAGAATCGGGTGATGCCTTTTGTGAATGGATGAATTTGTAATGTGGCCTCTTAGGAACCCTGTGGTTATACTTCCTCACAGCGCAGATCTAAAAGGCCCAAATCTCACTTTCCAATTAGTTTCAGAGGTCTGGCAGTATTGTTTTGAGAAACAGAAAATAATGTCTTGTCCATTCTGAAATGAATAGAATAAAAATGAAGCTCACTCATGGTTTAGTGCCCAGGACATTTACAACAACACAATGCATACACAACCTTCAAGGCACCATCTATCAATGACATGGCCATCCAACAGAAGAGCCAAAACAACTGCAGGGAGCTACTGAGATCTCCTGCCATGATCCCAGTGCTGGGGGACAGCCAGCTCCTTAAATTATCCCCCCCCCCCAAGTAACCTGGAATTTAAATTTCACTTCACTAGGAAACAGGAAATGTTTTTAATTGATTTAAATGAGCATTCCAAGTCCCAAACCAAATGATGTTTGGTAAATTTTTGTAGATAAGGGCAACATTGTCCTGTCTGAGTGTAGGACAAGAATATATACATGAGGAAGAATTGGGAATGGAGGTGATGGGGCAGAAAACTCTTTGGGATTTTAAATGGGAACAAAAGTCTCAAAAAATGATAATGGTGGGCTGGGGATGTGGCTCAAGCGGTAGCGCGCTCGCCTGGCATGCGTGCGGCCCGGGTTCAATCCTCAGCACCACATACAAAGATGCTGTGTCTTCCGAAAAGTAAAAAAATAAATATAAAAAATTCTCTCTCTCTAAAAAATATGGTAATGGAAGTGAGTCTATGCTTTAGAAAGTCATGGAAAGTGATAGGGTAGGGGGAAGGCAGCAATGGTGAGAAAAAGGAATTAAGATCCATTTGCTCACATCAGAAATCAGCAAAGGTGTGATGTGTTAAGTTTGAACAGCTACTGCTGAGATCAATGAGAAACTGCACAGCTCTGAAGACCAGAACCTGTATACCAGAGTCAGGTATCAAGAATGTTGGACAATCTGAAGGGAAAGCTGGGTCTTGTCTCCAGGCATTCCAATAGAAGTCACAAAGAATCACAAACCAAATACATAGCAGCAAAGGAAAGAAGAAACACTATATACATACTTGGCTGAGCTAATAATGCACATTTTGTTGATTATTATTCTCTGTAAATCTCTACATATTTAGTGTTTGATTGATGCTTGTGCATGAGGCGTACTCACCTCCTGGTGAGTTCAATATCATTAAATTGACTTTGGGCCCCAGGTAGGAAATTCAGCAGTTAGGTTAAAAAGTGTTCGACATATATTTCATAATTATTGAATGTGTCTTTAAGAATTACCAAATAGTTAATTAACTAATCAGAAATCGCTTATTTCTAACAAGCTGCTAATTTATTCCAATTCTTCTTCCAAGATCAATTTATTTTTCCATTTCTATACTTATTTATTCAATTTATTCAAGTCAGGCTTTCACTGCTTCTCTCTTGAATATTGCCTTTAACTGTACAAAGTTGCCCTGAAGTTGAGCCTATGCCTTATTGCCAGATAAAGAGTCCTGAAATTTTCATCTTATTTCTCCTGCTCAAACACTCTTTTCTGTGTGCACTCCAGTTTTAACAGAATAATACCCAAATTCTTTGGTGTCTAATTTTTAAAATAGGCCAACATATCATGCAAACATACCATGCAATACAGTAAGAGTCTACATTAAAGGAAAATGAAA